GGGAAAGGGAAAGGGAAAGGGAAAGGGAAAGGGAAAGGGAAAGGGAAAGGGAAAGGGAAAGGGAAATGAAATTTCTGTTGGAAAAGCTTGTCCAACTGCCTGACTGCTTCAGGGGTGACCAAAAGCTACAGCTTGGTTAAGGGCATTGCTGAAATGCCTCTTAAACACTGCCAGGCTGGGGGCATCAACCATCTCTCTAGGAAGCCTGTTCCAGTGTTTGACCACCATCTCAGTAAAGAAATGCTTCCTAAAATACAGCCTAAACCTTCCCTGGCTCAGCTTTGAACAAGTCCTATTTGTCATATCACTGGATACCAGAGAGAGAAGACCAGCAGCTCTCTCTCCACTTCCCCTCCTCAGGAAGCTGCAGAGAGCAATCAGGTTGCCCCTCAGCCTGCTTCTCCCCAAACTAGACAAACCCATGTCCTCAGCAGCTCCTTATAGGGCTTCCTTCTAGCCCTTTTAGTAATTTTGTTGCTGTCCTGTGGATGTATTCAAATGCCTTAATTTCCTGTAAAAATTGAGATATTTATTAACAAATATCAATAATCTATAAACTTTAATAAAATATGAATACAAGAAAATAAAGTATTTACATTTCTTGCTTTATTTTGATACTATCAGTCATACTTCCTTGTCATGAGGAAGGAGTTATTTTTGTAGCTTAAATTAAGTGGTTTTAAATATGGAAGCTATTTTGGAGCCCTGGTCACTGTGCAATAGATTGTAGTACAGTAACTGGTATTAGCACCACCATTACAGGCACATATGCTTATATATAAAGCAGAATAAAAAATGTATTATCTCATTCAATTACTCTCTCAGAAACAGTAACTTTTTTTGTCCTTTAGGTTTTCACCCAAAGAAATCCTAAAAAAAATAGCAAATTTTATTTAACAAGTAAGTTCCCTGTATCTTTGTAAGCAGAACATTGAACACCCCCACTAACACAAAGACAGTTCATAATCCAGCAGTAGAGGAAATACAGTGGTGTTACTTTCGTGATCACTGCAAATTTATTTTATTACTTCGGACGTTTATTTTTCTTTTTTAAAAGCATATAAAATCACATTGGTATTAAAAATGCTATATAAGCTTTCATTTAATTTCATTTTATTTCATTTCATTTCCTAAGGATTTGACTCCAGCTGTAACCACCACTGGCAATATTCTTCAAAAAAAAAGTGGTCATTAAAGTTGGATTCTGATTTTATCAAATAACAAGCATATAAAGATATGAAATATTTTTAGTAGGATTTACTGGATATGCCATGCTTTTAAATGTCTAAATAATTTGCATACTTGGCCTTAAATATTTGGCCATTTACTTTCCAGCCTCCTGAAGCCAATACAACTTCAGTACATTTGTCAACACTTTCCTGTGCAAACTATAACCTTTGTGAGAAAAACATAAGCATGTAGGTAGGTGTGAGTATGCAAATTCACATCTCTGGACTACTAGAAGACAGGTAGCTTTTAAAGTCTATTTATGTAGAAATGACTGTTCTTCAGTCATTTTTCTTAAGCATCCATTACTGGCAAACACCATAGAGGAAGTACTGGACTAACAGGACCTTTAGTCTGACACAATATAGTTATTCTTATGATCTTAAAAATACTCAGGAAGGCTCAAAACTAGTATTTAGCACCAGTTATTATCAAAATCTTACTAGAAAGTCTGATTTTATTTTTTTTTCTGCAAAGAGAGATGAACTATAGTTGTTTCAACAAAAGTTCAGAGAAAAAAATATTTATTTCTTCAACAAATAAAGCAACAAGTTAAGCAAAGAACAGGTATTAAAGGATGAAGTTATTAACTAGGAAATTTTCCTCATATTTCAAAAAGTATTAGGCAAACAAAGCAGAAAAATTTCTACAGTTCAAGCAAACATATTTGAAATTTTACAAGTGTCTCTGAACTTGTCAAGAGAATCCAGAATCAGTTCTTAACAAAAGTATATGATAAACTTTATAAATGCTGATGCTGATGCACTTTAAGAAAGAGACATGTCCGGAAGTCTCAGTGAAGAGAAGTAACTTCTGTAAGGAATTCAAGCTTTCAGGTGCTTTGCTAGAGGATGACTAAAACAATAATCGTATTCTGGGATCAAATCTTAGATGAATAAACAGCACTTCTCGGATTTTTATGAAAATCTGGGTTTTTAGGGATAAGAAAAGAAACAGGGATGAGAGTTAACATGATTTGTAAAACTAATACTTAGTATTTAGAAATTCAGAAAAAGAATGTGAAATTGCCAATCACACAGAAGTGATGACTAGTTTGCTGTGACTCATAGACAGCAAATAATAAGAGCCTATGGAAAGAAAAAAAAATCAAATAAAATTTTGACTAAAAATTGCATTGTTTTAGTGATAAATTGACTGAAGAAATAATACTGGCCCTTTGGATTTTGGTGCAGGATTATTTCACTGAAAAATGCTGGACTATTCAAATTAACTTTTGTTAAGTTTATGTTTGTGTGAAAAATTTCATTACAGCAGGTAATTGGATCAAATCCAGTGCGTCAAGGAATTACTGGCCAAAACCATAAAATAACTCCCTCCAGAAATAGGTCATAGGTTGTAGAGATCCATAGAGTAGCAGAATCAGAAGAACATTCACTATTGGATATGGCAGACTTAACAATACCAATCTGTTTTCTAGTTCACATTTACAGGCTTGTACAGAACAATATCCACAAAGGCCCAAGAGATGCCCTATCACTTTACACCTGAGAATTTATGCAATTATTTTGACAAATCACTTTTGTTACATCACCGAAAAACAACTGATCCTTTTTGAATCCAAGCAGATAGATTTCTTAGTTTTCTGAGGAACTCACAGAATTTCCAACTTCAAGTGATGATTTTACCTCCATTTGTCTTACATTTTAAGCAAGTGAATTATGGGATCAATTAACATGAAATTTTCAAGCATAATACGATTAGAGAAAAAAGTCTTCTTGGTTCCATTATATTCACACTAATTTTATTTTTAGTAACAAATATATATTTAAAGACAAAAAAACTACACCATTATATTACTAGATTAATTAACCTTTTAAGAAGATCAAAAAACACTTATGCTGATTAAAGGGGTACAATTCTCTCAGTCCTGAAACTGCAATGTCATAAGAAGAGATGAAATCAAATACCAAAGCAAAACACAGTGAAGAGATTTAGACTTGTTAGGCTAGAAGGCCTGACTGGAATGCACAATTCCTTCCAAAAAATTATATAATTTTATATAAAATTATATAATTCTTATTTGTATTAGCAGGCAGAATGATTGCCATAATTTATTTAAAGTTTTGAATGCAAATATTTCAGTAAAATAAAATGTGCTGGTATAAATAATTTCTAGAGGTAGGATTTATATCATATGTGATGAACTATAATCAGTGTTATTCTTCAGCTGTGATTCTCAGACTATAGGTGTTCTTCCAGAAATCAGAGTTATTCTGTCTTAAAGGAATAGGAAATCATCTAATGGAAGCAGAAAAAGGACCAGCTGTGAAATGTGTAGCAAGTATAATTATAATTAGAGCTACACTAAAGCACTAGCTACTACAAAACTAGACACTAGGTTATATACAGTCAAAGAAGAGTCTAAAAGCAAATCGAGTTTAAAATAACTTTCAAAGAGATTCACTACCTACAGTGCAGCACTGACTACATTGAAGTAGTGGATGTTTCATCACAACAATTCTACTTTTATTTATATGCTGTGGTATTTCTTCTGTAATTTAAAAAATCAGTAAAACTAAGACACAGCTTCCTGGAAGCCACCATATTCCACCGCATCTCTATCTCACTCCTTCCCAGTCTTCTAATTGTCACATAATAGTGGTTTTACAGTAGTAGTAGTAGTTCCTTAACTTGTTAACAATAGTCCAGAGGTGCATTTTTCTGTGTATATACAGAAATTTGTAAGTATATATGTATATAATATGACAGTATGTATGTAACACAAACAAAAGACAGATATATATATTACACTATTCTTATTGTGATATAAAGATTCTTTTCGTAATCTTGACCTAAGTATTATGTCTTTATGTCAGGGAATAAGAAAATTTTTCACAGGGCAAGTTTGTGTCTACAGTCCCAGAATTCTTACTGACCTTATCAAAGCATGAGAAGAAGAAAATACACCGATGCATAATTGTTCCTATATACATTCACATTTCATTAATTATAAACAAAGAGGAGAGTTATCTTACTGAAGAGTTATACTCAGGAGCGTGAATTGGATATGCAAGCATACTAAGACATTGCAAATTTTTTGGATTCATATATTATTTACCAAAGAAAATCAAACATAAAATTAAATGTAAATGATAACAAATCAAATTAGTCTTTTTCAAATATAGATTAGATAAAATTAATTTCAAAAGCCATGCTAAGAAATCCCTTGGTTGAGCAGCTATCAAGTACACAGCAGAGTTAACATAATTCAAGTTCTTTAACAACACCTCCCCTGGCTTCTTTTACTGCAAAAGACATCTTTTAGGCAGACATCTGTTTTTCCTTCATGCAAACTCTGCATTTGGCAGCTGCAACCTTAATAGAAAGCCCAGTAATCTGGTCACTGACTATAACATAGTGACCAGTATATTAACAGGAAATTGCGTTATTAGACATTTAACCATGCGTTCTTTGATCCTAGATAAAAACTGAAGATTATTTCTACCCAGATTTGATTAAATTGTGGGACATGTTCTTTCACTGTGCAGACATAACTGAATTATCCTCCATCAGCTGACAAAATGCTACTGTGACTGACAAGGCAGACTGACAGCAGAAGTGGAGACTTGAATAAAGATCCAAGTGAGAACGGACCCCAGAAAGGAGGTTTTGGTTTGTTTTTTTTTTTTTTTAATATATAGTTTCTAATATACTGTGAGGAGAAAAAACCCCAAAATCTTAATTCTCTTCATTTCACATGTAAGCATGATCAAAGACTGCTGCTTTGAGGATAATTTGCCAGGGTTGTTTATTAGTCAGCTTCATATAGGCACCCAGAGGTTTGTGTTTCTGCCTGCGGCACATAGCTCAAATAGAAGTTGTCAATTTTGCTAAGTCTAACTGCTGCTAGCAATTGGGGAGGGAGAAGAAATAGCCCTTTCCAAACACCTGCATCACAAACAGCAATCTTAGAGGATGACAGAATTCAGCTCTTAAACCTGGAAATTATATTCAGTTCTAGAAGCATTGAAATGTGCTTTGGATTTAAGTCACCTACCAATGAGGAGAGGCAACAAATAAATGTGGGGAAGACA